GAGGAAATTACAAAAAAGCAGATGTTTTAACTTTCAAATTCAAAATTCAGGTCCAATATTTATCTAATCAAAAATCAGGTATAAATTAAATATTTAAATAATATTATAATACTAAGTTTTCAAACCCTAATTCATTTTCAATCCATATTTTCTCTCTCTCTCTCAACATTCCCAGCCAAGTCGCCGCCGTCGCCGTCGCCGTCTCTCGCCCATTCCTCCCTTGCCGTTCTTCACCCATATCTCCACTCTCTCGCCATGTCAAACCTCTTCACACACGGTGACACAGCACCAACCACCGAAAGTCGCCTCCACCGCCATGTCAAACTCGAAGTGACGACGAGGCGCCGTCTCATCTCTTCCCTCCTCTCCTCTCCCCTTCTCTGTGAAGCCGCTGCCGTTTTCCTCCCCTCCATCTTTTCTACCAACCGTTGCCGCTGTGTAATTAGAAATCTGATAAGTTTTTCTCCCCTCCCTATTTTTCTCTCTCAAATATGCAGAGGCCATTATGATTGACTGAACCAAGAATAGGACTTTGTAATCTCATCACTCATCAACCAAGCCATTTATTTTTCGGAACACCTAACAACAGATTTGTGGTGGATCTGTGGCTCTGTACGACGGTGGTGGATCGGCGATGGTGGTTGTTGTGTGTGCGTGGGTGAGTGGTCGTAGGTGCAGATCTGTTTTTAGGTGGTTGTGGTTGGTGGTGCAAGTGGTGGTTGTTGTGATGTTGTGGTGTTGGTGGTGAGGTGGCGATTTGACTGTGGAGATGGCGATGGCTTCGGTGGTAGTTTTTTGGTGTTTTGTTGGTGGGCGTTTGTGATATTGGCTGCCGCGACGAGGTGGTGATGCTGTTGATTCCGGCGACTGTCGCCGACGGTGAACATCACAGGGTGGTCACAGAGGTCGGTGGTGGTCACGAGATGGTCACATAATCGTTGTGCAGTGCCTTGGCGGTGGGTGGTTTTGATAGTGTTTTTGTGTATCGGTGGCGGCGATGGCACTTGTGGTTGTGATGATTTTTATTGGCAATGTATTGGGTGGCGGCTTTGTTTGGTGGGTTGATAATGGTGGTGGCAGTTGACGGTGGTGCAGGTGGATGATCTTGTGATTTTGGTTTTGTGACTAAAAATATAATCTGTGACCTTAAAATTCGGTAATCTGTAACTAAAAATATAATCTGTGACCAACTTTTTTTAATCCGTGACCTAAAAATTATATAATTTGTGACCGTAAAAAAAATATGTGACCAATTAATTTGGAAATCTGTGACTATGTGACCTATAAATTTTGATTTGTGACCAACTAATTTTGAAATCTGTACCAACAAATTAATTGTGACCTACAAAAATTTTGAGATGTGACCGTAAATTGTAAATCTGTGACCAGAATGGTCACCGGAATAGTCGCTGGAATAATTGTCGAAATCGGAGCAGTCGCCGGAACGGTCGTCGGAATAGTCGCCGGAGAAGAGTGGTGGTCGGAATGGTTGCTGAAATAGTTCTCGGAGCGGTATGGGTGGTGCATGTGGGATATGTTAATTATATTATATATTTAATAATAAATTGATTTAATAATTTATTATTTCATAAATAAAAATTAAAAAAACCTGATTTTTGAATTTTCAAACTATAAGCATGATTTTTGAATTGGTGTAAAGTATACACCTTATTTATGAATTTTTCCCTTTATAAAATTACAACTTCAATTCAAGGAAAGATTCGGGAATTAAAGTTTATGTAATTTTTTGACATGTATTTATTTTTTTGGCAAATTATAATGCATGTAATTCTTTTACAATGATTGTAACTTAATCTATGTATTAAATGTTGTTATAAAGTTTTTGCTCCCATGAAAAAGAATTCATCTCATCGAACTTCACAAGACAGAAAGATGACCAATATAATCAAATAAACTATACCAATATGAACAACATCATTATCTATGGTATGAACCGATAGATTTTTAAACACTTGAACTTTTTTGTGGAGATGCTTTTGTGATCATTGAAGTATTGCTCTTTCAAATGGCTATTTTTTAATCGATATTTTCAACACATCTTAGTCCTAACATGAAATAGAAATCTTCCACGTAAAACTGGACAACTAGATCATGAATATTAAATTTAAACCACATCTCATTGGAGTTAGGCTGCTTAACTTGCCTAAGCAACAATTGATGTATCAACTGAGGTTGCAATGTTATTTCCATCAAATCAATGAAGGCACCGAAGCACGTCTCCCTAAACAAAGTCTTCTGATGTGAAATAAACTTTTCATTTAAATCGGTTATTACCTCATGCGAAGAATATAATGTGACTTTCCCTTTAAAGCTACACTATTGAGAGATTATTAAATCCCAATTGTACACGAAAAAAGATAAATAATTAAATGAAATTCAAATGAACTAACAAAAAATACATGTTTCAAGAAAGAAATAGAAATTCAAAAGAAGTGACAAAACATCAATAAAAACTTTAAAATATATCCAAGGGATGGTTAATTTTCCTTCACAACCAGACATTGTACTGCATTTATCGACATCAAGATCAAAAAATGTAGATAAATATTCATGCCAAGGTAGAAAAATGTAGAACAACGTTTGTTTGATTATGTATGCAGTGTTTTAGAGGACACGTGTTATTTGACATTCATTCAATTGTCACAAATATTCTTTCCAAACACACTATTGTCTTTCTTCATCAATTCAAAGTGTTACGTCGCCACCTTCAAAATCAATTACCACTCACCACCCAAATTTATAATATGAATTTGCAGTTAAGCTCAAACTAAAAAGAAACATGAAATTTATATCAACATGGTGGATGTTGCCACCATTTCTTATGAATTTATATATTATTAATTCAATTATAAAGGTCACAATTTTATACTATTTGGTCACAAATTATCGAATTAACTGGTGACAAATTATTTCTCGGTCACGAATCAAAAATTTTAGATATCACGAATCAAGAATTTTGTAAGTTACAATTTGTTAATCGGTCACAAATCAAAAAATTTATAAGTCACAATTTATTTATCGACCACAAATCACAAATTTTATAAGTCAAAGACTCAAATTTTTAGGTCACATATTTTTTATTGGTCACAATTTAACATTCACATATTATTTATTTGTAACAAAATATCTAATTTATTGGTCACGATAACAAATAATTGATCACATATTATTTAATGGTAACAAATTAATCAATTTATTGGTCACAATAACTAAATAATTAGTCACGGTCCATCTTTATACAATCCAACACAGCCTCGTCATCACCACAAAAACCACCATTTCACCACCATCACACCACCACCTCCTGTACTAAGAATCAAAACAACCATCTCCACCACATCACACCACCACCACCAACCAAAAAATCCCCAAACCTACCACCATCGCCGCCACCGTTGCTGCCAAGCCACCACCAACACTGCCACCATAATCACCACCAATCCACAATCACAGCCATCGCCACCACAACTACCATCTCCTCTATCTTCATCTCCACCACACCACACCACACCACACCGCAACCACCAACCCCACTAAAAAAATCCCCAAATCATCGCCGCCACCACAATCTCCACCGGCTGATTTCTTCATTAAGATTATTCCATTTATCAGATGGTACCATGAGAGCCTAAAATAATGCATGCAAACATGGTCAATTTTTGGTCTCTGCACATTCTACGTAATAATTACAGATGCCCAACACACAAATTTGATAGAACAATAGAACACAAGCAACATAAAAGTATTTTACTATACTTCGTGTTACCCTACCCGCAGAATGGAAGAATGAAAGTAATCCCCAATTTCCAGATCAGCTTTTCTCAATGAAATTCTTCTTGTTGAAGAATACACTTCCCACCACCCCAATTTATTCATCAAGATCTCAATTAAAAAGGAGAATGCAAACATCACGTCACATTTTATAATCTTACATCTTTCCTGGTTAGGATAATCTAAGTACCGCGGAAACAAGAACTTAAAATGATATGCATGACATCCTCAAAAAAGTAGGACACAAAATGCTAAAAAAACTTTTATAAAACATATTCTTTATATTTATAACTATAATTATTCCCATGTTGAAGCTAATGAAAGATATTTAGCATCAGTGAAAGATTTAGCATATAATAAGGGTCAAATTTAAATTTAAATTCAAAGCATTTTGCAATAATGAAAAATATGTTCAGCAAAAAAAAAAAATCTCTACTCCATGTTCTCGTATTACTTTGTCTCGACTCCAATTGCATCATGATTTTGCCTCAATTTTCAACGTCGGCTGAATATTAATCTCACCTTCAAGCGAGACACAGTGCAGAAGTTCTTTGCCTACACACTATCAGCTCATGCACTAGATCATCAATTATACCTCATAAGGTTCTATAATTCTATTATCATCCAAACCAAACATTTTTACCATCCGAAAGTTTGAAATTTCTCATCACATTCACACGAATAGAAGTAAAAAATAGCATAGTTTCTTGAAAGAAACTGATACAAAAATTTCATTAGAGGACTATGTGTCATAACTCATTTTTTTAAGTCAAACGTTGATTTGTCAAAGTTTTAGTCAAATAAGGACTTAAATTGAATAAAATATTTTATTTGGGGTTAGTTACAAATTGACAATATTTGAAGGTTTAAGATGGATAAAACTAATTTTGGGGGTTTACTTATATATTATTAGAAGTAAAATGGTTAGATTTTATATTCAATGGAAGTTAAGGACTAAATATTACGTTAAATTGAAGAAGAGGGGCTTTCTTTGAAATTGTTGGTATGAGTGGATTACAAGTGGCAATTATATAACCAATTACCCAAATTTTCATTTGATAAACATACACACACAGACAGAAACCGGCAGGGAGAAGGAAAAATCAGAAAGAAGGGAAGAAAAGGGAAAAAGGAGGAAAGAAAAGAGAAGGAAAGAAAAAAAAAATAAAGAGGAGAAAGAAGAGGAGGAGGAGAAGAAGAAGGATGGTAAAGAGGTATGTTAATTTAATTTTTAGGGTTTATGACAATTTGTTTATATTCAAAGTTTAGTAAGATTTAGGTGTTATTGATATGTATTTGAGGTGGTAATTAGGAAAATAGCAAAGAAATGTGTATCAGGAAATTAATGTTGAGGAAGGTGGAATTGTGAATGGGTTTGTGAGATAAAGATGTATTATTTGATTTTCTTGTGATTATGTGATGTTAAACATTAAATTTAAGGAAATGAGATTGATTTCTCCATTGTTAAGCAATTATTATAAGCATTTTGAGATAAAATTCTACAAAGGTGCTATTTTTGAAATTATTCCCAGAATGTGCTACTTCTGTCAATGGTTTCGGTGATAATTTTCAATATGCAGAAACAGGAGCCAGAATTCAATACGATGGGAGTTTAGTGCTGTTTTCATCAAATATTTGATTTCCAGATTTTAAAGGTATGAGAGAAGGTATGTGATAAATATTGAGGTTTAGTTGTTGGATTAAATTATATATGGGGGTTGTATA